CTGGTCTCTGCTGAGCATTATCCAAAATGTGGGGCTCGGTTGGTGGATACCAGGACAGCGTGGTGGGTAGTGTCCACTGCATTCATTTCCACCAGAGGCTGGTTGAGCGTCTGCTCCTCCTTGGTGTTGGGGGAGCCGGATGATGGTTGTGGAGAGCTTCTTGTCAGTGGCCTCTTATCTTTTTAATCATGTTTTATTCCAGGGGGTATTTGTGTCATTTCTGGGAATATCAGTTTTATAAGACTAGAAAAGGATTCAGATCTTGATTCTTCCATTTATTAGTTGTGTAATCTTAGATGAGTTACTTAATGGTTTTTACTCTTGGTTTCCTTGGCTGTAAAATGGGAATAATATTAGTCACCTATCTCATCTCCACCTCACAGAGTTATTGTGATGATTAAAATATAACAGTTAAAATACTGAAGGCACTTAGCACTGTAACTGACACAAATTCGGAAGTTAAGAAATATAGCTGCTGTGTCAGTCAGGATTCCTTCAGTTGCAAGTCATTGAAACAAACAACACTTTATTGGCCTGAAGAATTACATATATCAAACAATGGCTGAGGGCCCTCTCTCTCTCTCTCCCATGCCGCCCCTCTCCCCCGATCTCAGCTGGATCTCCAAGGATTAATAGTATCTGAATAACAATTAATAGACACTGAGCTTTTAAATATGACAGGGTTTCAAGCACTTTACATGGATTATCTCATTTACCCCTCACAACACCCAAGGATGTAGGTATTATAATCACCCCAGTTTACAAATGAGGAAACTAGGGCACAGGGAGGTTAATAGCTAGAAAGTGGCAGAACTGGAAATTGAACCCAGCTGTCTTACTGTAAAGCCTTTGCGCTTAACTATTACACAGGCTTCCTCTGAAGATGTTAATGGGCAGAGAGATGAAGAGGATGAGAGTTTCAAATAAGGAAAAACAAAGTATTATGAAAAATTGTACCTCTGATATTACTAATGAGTTCAATGCAAAATTGTGGGTTCACTTATCTTTGCACCCACCGCATTTAACTTGTAGGCACACAGAAAGCAACTAATAAATGTGTGACAAATGAATGAACTCATCACTAGCAATCTCCTTTACTTATTTTATCTTTTTCATTTGTGAACTACTCATCTTGCCAGATAGTATTTAGCCAGTAAACTTATGCACATAGTCATTTCATTTTTAAAAAACCAAGAGGCCCGGCCAGGCATGGCTCAGCGGCTCAGCATCGACCTAGGATCCAGGAGACTGAGGTTCGATTCCCAGTCAGGGCACAGGCCCGGGTTGCGGGCTCTGGCTCCATCCCCAGTAGGGGGACATGCAGGAGGCAGCAGATCAGTGACTCTCTCATCATTCATGTTTCTGTCTATCTCCCTCTCTCTGAAATCAATAAATATATTTTTAAAAATTTTAAAAAATCAAGAGAACTAATAGTAAGCACCTTATATAAAAAGATCAGAGAATTTTCTGACACTAGTGGTTTGGGGGGGGACACAAATTTCCACCTTCTCTGGCGCCCTCTTGTGCTTCTTGGTGGAAAGTAATCAAGAGTGCTGACGTTTCCAGGAAACTGAACCTGGATTTATTTTCTACATATACACAGAAAGCACGTGCACACATGCACACACACAACCTTACAGATTAAACTAGTCAGTGCTTGTGTCAGGAATTTTAAAATGTTATGTCACCTGGGTTTCCGTGATACTGTACCACTAGGCTGCAATTAACCTCAGTTTGAATTTCTGTTAACTTCTATTCCTAGAGACTCACACAACTTACAACATGAGCTTATGTGTTTTGGGGAAGTATGTGTCATGTGTGTTATCTGGCAAGGCTGCTCTCATTGAGATCTCTCTCTCTGTCTCTCTCTCTCTCTGTCTCTCTCTTTCTCGTCAAGGCTCCGAATTCCTTGAGAAATTAAAGCTGCAGGTTCTCTTGGGAAGAAGAAAACATAAGCACTTACTTTTCTGTCACTTAAAGGGGCCCTTGAAGCAGAGCCACTTGTTCTTCAATGTCTTGCAGAGCTCTGTGCTTATTCCCTGGGGAAATGGGCCTCTTAGTTTTCCAAGTCTCCCTGTGCACCACACGGCTCTTTCATATGACCACTGGAAAGGAACAGAGGCTCAGAAGGTGTAATGCAAGTGACAGATTCCACGTTACCTTGAATCAGGTGTCCTACCCCAGCAAGTGGATAAACAGGCTGTTATTACAGATTCTTAGACTTAAGCTGGAAACTGCATTATATATCCATGCTCGATCTAAATGCTTTAATTTAGATCATCTCATTTAACCCTCCAACAAAAACTCCATGATTTAGGTAATTATTATCAGTCATACTTTACAGACGGGAAAACCAAGGAGCAGAAAGTCTAAGGAACTTGCCCAAAGTCACTTAGCTAGCTGGTGGTAGAGTCAGGATTTTAAACCAGGCGGACTGATGCCACAGCCTGTATACTTAACTACCAACCTATCCTGCCTTTGCATGTGGTATCTAATTTGCACTGTGCCATAAATCTCTGCAGTATGCTGGTTTTGTCATTACAACCCTTTTATAGATGAGACTAGAACTGAGGTCTTGACCAAATGTACACAGCTAGTCAGTGCAGCAGCTGGGACTTATACCTGGGTCTTATCATTCGAAGTTCTATGCTCTTCCCATGTTGTTGCAGAGAACTTCAAGTAACCAAGTATGATAATTATTATAAGGTCTTTCATATGCATGACCTTCCCTGCTTTACTGCTTTGGCCAGTGGTTACTCTTGGCAAGAGCTTCAACCAAAAGCCCTCTTCTATCTTTATCCACTCTCTGCACATAACTTCTAGCTCCAGCTCCAGCCACCAAATGTAGAGTTCATCAAGCAACCCTTTTGTTTAGAATTTGACTAACATTTGTCCTGTTTGCCATCTGTAGTGGGTTGAATAGCGGCCCCCAAAATGATACATATATACACCTCCTAACCCCAAGAACTTGTGAATGTAACCTTGTTTGGAAAAGGATCTTTATAGATGTGTTTAAGGTAAATCCATGATCCAGATGAGATCATGCTGAATTATATAGGTGGGTCCTAAATTCAATGACAAGTATCCTTATATGAGATAGAAAAAAAGACACAGACACACAGAGGAGAAGACATTTGAAGGCAGAGGCAGAGATTGGAATTCTGCAGCCATGAGCCAAGGAACGCCTGGAGCCATCATAGCTGGAAGAAGTGAGAAAGAATTCTCTCCTAAAGCCTCTAGCTGGAGCCTAGCCCCGCCGACACCTTGATTTCAGACTTTTGGCCTCCAGAACTGTGAGAGAATGAGTTTCTGTTGTTGTAAGCCACCCAGTTTGTGGTGATTTGTTATGGAAGCCCTAGGACACTAATACACCATTTCTACACTTCTTGGTTTTCGAGGGTTCATGACATGTGTGGCTTCCCTGCTCATCCAGCCCTGTCTTAAATAAACCCTCTGCCCTATCCGGTGCTCCTTCACTGTCTTCTGCATGGGACCCTCAGGTCCTTTATGTGCCTTCCCTCCTGTTGGAAAGAAGACATGCTATCTTAACGGAGCTCCCCTCAGAAGGGAAATGTCTTTCGAGGTGGCATGATACAGGAAAGATGAGCTCTGAAGGACATGGGGTCAGCGTGGGCAGGGCACCTTTGCCCATGAGTTACTTGCCATGTTTTCTCCTTTGTTTTTTAACCCTTTGCTATATTGTCTCCATTAAAGAGTACGCCTGAGACTTAACAAGTCATGCCTCATCCTCAAGCATCATTTGTGAAGTAAGAATGTTTGACAAGTTGACCTCTTACTCTCCTTCTAGGCCTCGTATGTAAGGTATAGAGAAATCTTTCCATACAAAAGTTTTCTTGAGCACCTACTAAGTGTTAAACACTGTCCCAAGAGCTGGGGTTACAGCAATGAGATAGATGTGGTGCCTTCCCTCCCAGATGTGGTGCCTTCCCTCTTCCTGGGTGGGTGGGTACTGTGCTCTGCATCACCAGGAGCCCCAGAGGGGAGGGGCGAGGAGGGTGCAAATGTATAGGGACAGTGACACTGAAGAGAGGCAGTAAGTTTGTTTTATTTCTCTTTGGGGCGGTTGGAGGGGAGAGGTTAAGTTTTTTACCTGGAGAATTTGAGATGAAAATGTCCAATAGACAATTGAAATTAGAGGTTTGACAAAGGGACTAGGGAAGGTCAAGTCTATTGGCTGAGACCTTGGACATGGGTGAGGTCAAGCCAGGCGGTGAGGAAGGCAGGGCAGAGGGTGCGGGGCGTCGGGGCACCACCCCTCGCCCTGCGCTGCGCCCACGCCGCTCTCGCCCCACGTGACCAGCACCCAGGCTGGGCGGGGCCTGTGCGGCCTCCCCAGGCCCCGCCCTCCCC